ATCTTGAACATGTTGGCTGCTCTGCAGTACATCTCACATGCCTCTTCCACTTTGTGATGTCCCCTAAAAAAATATATTCATATGAGGAGAAAAACAAGAACACAGTTTTGAATTTAGTGCAAATGTTCATTGCATTTTGTTTATGAAAAGGACGATCATGCTGAGCTATATGTAAAGACACACTATTGTTAGATTTTCCACTAAGATGCAATGGTTGGCTTGTCCTAAATAAACCTTCTACACAGGCACTATAGAGCTCAATTCCTTTTGACAGCCAGCAGACCCCTGGGAGCTCCCTGTAGTCGTAATCATACTCTGGCCATTCAATCATGGCAGAGGATTACATCATTGCCTGGCCGGCAACAGAATTAGCAATATGAAGCCTGGCAATGGTTATCCTGGATAAGAACTGCAGCGTAGTAACATCTGGGGCTCATCTGTGCAGAGGTTTAGAGAAAAAAAACCCCCAGAGTCACACGGGGCTATCGTCGAAGGTTTTTTGCATTAAGAGTCTAAACAAACAATATTTTTTATTCATTACCGGATAGAATATACACATGTTTGCAAGATTTAAATAAGGTAATGCTGATCTCTTCTGGGGTCACTGACAGTGGCAAAAGATTTGGATAGAGCTTCTGTAATGACGACCATTGGGAAAGCAAGACGCATGAATACAGGTACAGATATAAAAGAGAAACGTTTATTTGGTTAGAACTGGTCAGATAAACCAGAGGGTGTGAGTTAGGAGCTTCCTAATCAAAATACACTTCACCCCTCCTCCAAGCGTCCTCCATAGTTTATGTATAGCATGAATCTAATGACAGCATCTGCCATTGCTATAGTTATGGGGATTAACGAGGGTGTTGGTCACATCTGAAGGCAACCATTAACTGTAGTTAATGCAATAAATTCACTCCTCTGCGGATTACATCAGGATTAGATGATGTGCTGCTGCTGGTGATTTAACTCTGATTACGTTGTTTTCTATTTTTTTTAAGTCCTTTTTATTTTGGGGGGTATTTAATTAAGAAACATGATCCAGGACTTGCCATTAAACTGATTTAATAGAAATAAACAGTTCAATGACATTAACGAACTTGCCAGCACACTGTATGTGTAAGCTGACATAACAGGCAGTATTAAACAAAGGAAAGACTGACAGCTATAGTAAATAAATTAGATATTTTAAGCTTGCTAAAACAGTCTGCTGCGTAGCCTCAAGGCCAGCGCTAAGTCTAGCAGGAGGTCGTGATCTGCTGGCTTGTTTACAAACCTAAAAACAGCTAAGTTAGCTAACTGCCTCGCAGGTACGATTGCGCTGCATGTCATCTTCCTCTACGTTAACAATCAGCTAAACTTCTATAACATTTAGCCTGTTCACATACGGACACCTCAGCTAGCTAACTGAAAGCAAGTGTGAATGGAAACAGGCTCCGTGCCAACTTTGCCGCTGACACTAAACGCTTGCTAGCTGTTGTTCTTTGGTGCAGTGCTGTCTTACCCTCCAAACATCCCTCCCAAAAAAGAACCAGACGACTTGACTTTTTTGTCAGCGTCGGCCATAAGCTGAATAGCTTCCTTCTCTTTCCCAGAGTTGTCCATTTCTTGTCTGTAGTTGGGGGAGGAAAAAAGCTAACAGTTAAGCAGAAAACACCCGCAGAGGATTCAAGTGTGTACAGTAAGGATTACAGTCGACGGGTTTATTTAGCGTAGGCGTGCACAGCTAGTGGCTTAGGTGAGTGCCGTGGCATCACGGGAGTTGGAGTGCTTTACGCCCCAAACTCAGCAAGAGCCGAGGCAAAAAAGAACTACAACTCCCAGCCAGATATGAGCAAATTTTCTTATGTCCGTGTTACGTAATATCTTGTGCCAAATTACAAAATAAATGTTGAATATTCGGCTTATTTTTTCTTAATTCGTTTTTTCTGCAGCATTTAATTAAAAAAATATAGTTAAATAATAAATAAAATATTTTTGTCTGAATTTAGAAACACAACAATTAGTGTCCTTTGTGTTTCTGTACAGCAGAGGGCGCAAAAGCAGTGCAACTGACTAATACTATAAACATTTTGACTTTCCTAATTATTCATTTTGCTAAATGAAGCTCAAACAACTTTTTGTTGCTGTTGTTATTTCGACAAAACTTCAAATTGCTTACCTTATACTGTGCGTGTGCAGTTATGTCCTTTTTTTTAAAACTAAATTAAACTGTAGAGGGAAACGTGCATTTGGAAAATCTAATTCATTTTATGGGTTCAGCAAAACAATGCCATTGGGTACAATTAGACATTGACTCTATTCTCCTGGTGAATGTAAATTCTCAATAAGGGCTTAAAAACAAACTGTCGTAACATGTGACCGTACATAGCCCCCTAGCTCAGCTGCTCTAACATTTATAAACTGTTAAGATTTCTAAAAAGTGTGAGAAAGACACTATTGTGATCGTCCTTTTTCTGTATTCAATCCTTCCAAGTCGTACAACAAGGCTCTCATTCAGAGCTGGTCAAACAGTAGGTTACAAATGATAATGCTTGTCATTTACATTATACAATTCGTAATTACTTAAATATTAATTGTAACCAATTATGTAACAACAGTGAGTGTCTACAGCCAACTGCAAATGACGGTGGAGGCTCTGTCATGGTTTGTCATGGTTCATTTCAGCCTGTGGTGTTGGGGATCTTGTGAAAATTGAAGGAATTATGAACAGAGAAAAGTACACCAGCCTTTGATTGGCCGGGGCTTCAGTTTCCAGCATGAAATTCCAAACACACTACCAATGCAGTAAAATATCTGGATAGAAAAACACATACTGGACCTTAACATTACTGAAGCAGTGTGGGATCATTTTGACAGAGATCATCCAAAGAAGCCTGGGGAAATATTCCTGCAGACTACTTAAAGAAATGACCAGAAAGCTTCCCTAAGAGATCTGATGAAGAATAAAGGTCGTCAAACCAAATACAGACTTTCAACTTTGTTGGAACTCTGCAAACTCCTTTGCCTTATGTACTCTATTTTCAAGGATATTTGTACATTTTCATAAATTGCTGACCCTATTTCCTGTTTCCTTAGCAAAATATAAAGAAACGAGGCTCTATCAAGGCTTAAGCACAGTGTTGTAGGCTATATATATGGATCAAAGTCTGCATACAGCAGCAACTTGTATGTCAAGCAAGAGTGGGAAAACAGCTGGTGCCCTCATATTTCAATGGCTTACAAGAGCAGAAGTCAGTGTGGTAAGCACTGTTTGCTGTCCCTATATTATCTGGATATGTCTGACTCTCATTAAGTATAAAATTTGTATATTAGATATATTATTAGTTAAATTGTTAATTTGTTGTCTTTATATTTTATATTACAGAATAACACTTTAAGCTGTAATCTGATGTAAGGGAATTTCTATTTCTAGAGCCAGAAAAATGCTGACATACCACAGACATACAGCATATCATCTGCAAAGTGTTTTGTTCCGGGTATGATGAAAAAGCAGTCCCTTTTTATTCCTGAAAGATTATGGTGTCATTGCATAGTTTGTCCAGCAGAGTGCGCTGCAGCTCTGTTGTTTACAATTCTGCACCGTTTGCAACATAACGATGATATGGAAGGACTTTAAGGACATGGGTGGTGTCCTTAAAGCACAAGCGAATAGAAACAACTTTATTGTTTGTCACAAAGCAGCGGAGAGAAAAGTCATCAGTGACACCGCTCTAAATAGAAACCGGTAACACAAACACTGATAAAGGGCATCAGAGTTAAACATCAGTCTGTAATAATACAAGGATATAACATCATTAAAAAAATTATTTAAAATATTTACAGCTGAGGGATAAACGATCCTCTGTTGACCTTTGTCTTAGCCAAGGGGACTCGATTATGCCAGCCTGATGGTAACAGCACTGATGGAGATGGTGCAAGGGGGTTCTGTGTGGTCACATGGCCTTCCTAGTAAGTGACCCAATACCACTCACTCAGACAGCGGTGCTTGAACAGAACCTGTTTTCTCACCAGCCTGTTTGGTAATCAGAGATGGTTATCACTGTGTATAACAGTGAGGCTGTACCAGGATGAAATCAGAGTCAGTGACAGGCGTTAAACCAGCCATACTGATATAAAATCTGAGTATCCTCAGTATTTATGGTCCTCGTTGAGTCTTTCTGCGCAGAGAGGTCTGGAGAGCCCAGGCGACGTTGGTGGAAAATTGACAAACAGTGAACGTATCAGTATGTCTTGAACTTAACTCCATATAAAGAGCAACTCCCTGGAAATGGCATTTGTCATGACCTCATAAGAGTCTGTTTACTTTGACCTTTTAATGTATTGCACTAAGAACAGCTCTCTTATCTGCATTTAATGTTTGTTTTACTTTTCTGGTTGCATCTGTAACAAGCAACCTGGTAATCAAAACTCTAATCTAAAAAGCAGAAGCAATAAAGACATTACTACATGAGTCAACTTAGTTTTTGCGTCAAGAAAAATTTCATGCATTTTGCAATTGTTTACATGGTTTATCTATATTCTAAAAGGTACTCGTACTATAATCATAATTGTAAACCAGTTTCTAATAAAACAATATGGCTTAAATGAGAAAATACATTAAAAGCCATGTGTACAGTCAAGATATAGATAGATAAGATATGGCAACAGTAAAGCTGCTACGGAACACAATTACTGATTAATTTTAATAGTGAACAGTTCAGGCCACTGGTTTGACTTTTATGACTCACCTTCTACAGTAGAAACTTTCAAGGGAAAACCAGTGAAGGGTAATTACACACTGGCTACACCTGGCTGAACACTACAACTACAGATTACAGCTTTGTAACAGTGACTCAGTCATATTGCAGTGCAGCTTTGGTACAATGAAAATGCAGATCCATTAAAATCAAAAGATCAAATGGAAATTCTTAGTTAGACTGTGACTATTATGAAAATGTGAAACATTAAGTTTCTTGGAAAAACAAAAGTCAAAGAAACCATCGTATTCATCTGTTTTTTTAATTTATTTATTTATATCTTAGACACTTTTCATTCTTTCAGTTGTTCAGATACACAGACCATACATGCAGCAATCATCAGTCTTTGTGGTTAAAAATTGTGCGATAACACAGATTTACACACTTCTAAAAAGGGTAATGTCCACCAGAAATGAGTCCGCCACCCAAAAACCATCATTGGTGTTGTGAATTCCAATAATATATACACAGTATGGAAGTGTATGCATCTCAACTCAAGTCTATTCTAATCAGTGATTGAGGTATTGGTAATGTTCAAATAAAAAGGCAAACATAAGCATTTTCCCCCTTTAAGGCTGTGGTATAAATGTGCACTGCAAATAAATACAGTTTCCCATTTAACCTCAAATCAAGTACAAAGGAGAAAAAAGTAATCAAAAAAACAGTACATCCAGTGTGCTGTATCCAAGTTAAAATAATGGCTACTTATTACCAAGTCAATAATCAGGAGTTTGAAGGCATCATAAAGAGGATCAGAGTGGTATGGTAACCTCTAAACATCATCAAATTGAAACATTTTTGTGTGCAGTGAACAGGTGGTATGCAAAATAAACCCAGCAACTGACTAATTTGGGGGGGGAAAAAATTCAAAATTACTTATTGATATTTAGGATCAATAAATCATGGTTACACGCACATAAAAACAGACCCCTGAACCACACCACATGCATTTTGCATTCGATAGAACAGATGTAACATTGGCTTCATAAATATCCACTCATGAACAATTTGTCAGCTTAACCTCGTTTCCAGCACGATGAAAACCTCTGTGCAGACTGCTCTTATACAAACAGGCCGGCGTCTGACAGAGAAAAACGAAAAGCATTTGTGGCTGCTTTCACTTTTTGGCTAAACATACACGTGTTCAACAGAAAGTAAATAATAAAACTTCACGGAAGCTAAACGACAGCCTGCAAAAACCTGCTAATGACTGGAGTGGAGTGAAGGTGGTCTGAGTGGTTTTAGTGATATAAACCTTCTAGAGTCACCCATTTCTACCATGGTCCTCTTGAGTTTGTCTGTGTAGCAACAGTACAGAGAAAGGTAGATCTTTAGGGATATTTATGAGGAGCTGAGACCAGAGTCTGACTCGAGGTTTCCACCACGGTCCTTTGAGGCAATGCATGGTGCCAGGGAGCAGGGAATCGAGTAGCAGGAACACGATGAGCTCTTTAGGGTCTCTGTAATAACCTCCTGCAGGGAGTGTTGTTCCTCTATCTGGAAGATGTTTGGCTGTTCTATTGAGTCCTCACCAATACTAGTTGTGGGGGGAAAAAAAGAAAAAGAAAAGACATGCTAGCAGTTAGATCAGTGACAGTATCGTGTACACAAGCATGCTGGTACGATGGCACCAACACAATCAATGGCACAGAACAATCCACAGACAAAAGTACTAACAAACCTTTAGTTTATCTATTCCTCACATAAGTTCAATAACAATCTCCACCAAGCAACAGAAAATACTTCTGTTCTGCTCTAAACCATCAAGAAGAGTCAGAATTTTACAGAAATTCACATTCATTATTTCCATGCACCCACATTAATACAATCAGCAGGATTTGTTGCATTCATTTGGGTCAGGGAAATGATTGCACTGGTGACCATTCTGTGAGCGAGAAGCTGCCTTTTTCTGCAAACATTTTAGATCCCATTAATCTTTGAAGACCCCAGTTTTTGTTTTTGAACCTGCTGGATATTTTACATACCAGTGGCTTATAAGGTATTCCTTCCAATATGAAGTAGATGTTGTTGTGAATGGGCAATACACGCATTAAAAACTGGATGGCTCACTTTCTGAACCAAAGCAGATTAGGTCAAGTACAAACAAAAGCATCTATGATCCCTTTTGTAGGACACAATCATTATCGACATGTCTGTGTAAGTATGTGCACTCAAAGGAAGTCAGATATGACACTCCAATAACAATGAAAACATCACATATTGAGCGATGTAAGTCTAACATCCTTTCATGAAAGATGCTGTTAAATAGGTTCACAAAATAAAGACAGAGGGTTCAGTGCAATCAGCCCTTTTGTACATAGAGAGTTGTAGTAAAGGCAGATCATCCACAAGAGCAAAAGCAAAACAAACAAACAAACAAAAGAACATATTTGTGAAGAATAATGCTATTATACCCGACAAAGTACCTTTGTGAGCTATTTAAAACTACACAGTGAGTATGCATGCTTTAATAGGTGGCTTAGTGTTAAGCAACATTCATATTTTAGTACTACGCGAATAAGATTAAAACTAGGTGTTAAAGTAGTTCATACACAAGCCAACGCCTCCAGAGGTGCCGTCTCATGCACCAAACAAACCATTTGCTCTTGCTGCCTTCTTTGTTTCAAAGTTCAACATCACTGTGTACAGTTTAAAATGAAGCACGTAATAAGGAGGCCTTTCAAAGCATACCCAAACAATACAGGCATTATTAAAAAGGAAGTGAAGCCGCTTTCAGCTAACAAAACTAGGAAATGATGAACATGGCAGTTGACCAATCAAAACAACTTTGATTATTACAATTACAATTTAGAAAAATGCAAAGCATTAACCACTGCTACCTGAACATTAAGTGGAATATGGAAGGAAAAGTCAACCGTCTTGCATCATTGTCGAGAACATCCTTTTGTTCTTTCAGCTTTTAATGAGTGAGATTCATTCAAGCTTTATTTTTAAAGGGGCAAAAACAAGCCAAGGAGTGTTCAGAGGGAAAATAAACAAAAACACAGCCAGAAACCAGAGAGACATTACGGAAATCTGGAGAACTTGAGTCTAAATATGGAACCAAGCTTTCAGAAATTCTGTAAGAAAGAAGCACAGTTATAACAACAACTACCTGGAGAGGTCAACTGGTTTGTGATGGGTTAAAACAGGTGTTAAAACACAAACTAGAGTGTGCGCGGCTGTTGTCTTTTCTGCAGGGGTCTGCAGAAATCTGGGGGAAAGTGCTAACGGGAATGTAGAGTCACTGTCATTGTACAGTCAGACATGGAACTGAAACTGATAACAAACAGGCTCTGCTGACCACGCAGCTTTGCGAAAGACCAGAGAAAACCCTGTCACCCTGCCTACAGCTCCAGCCAAGCTTTATGTAACAGCACTGGCACATTGTGTGCATTCAGTTTACACTCACAAATTAGTCAATGAATACTCAAAGCTTTTGTGTCAAAAGCTACGCCAGTACCAAATAATTAAAATGTGTCCCGGCACTGAATTATATAACTCTGTAAACCTGAAAAAGAAGCCGGAAAGCAGCTCAGTATTGTACTCCGTAACAAGAAAAGGACCTTGGAATGCAATAATCCCTGATAAACCTGAAAGGCCTCTGAAATACCCTGAAGTCTCAGCCAGAGCAGAAACACAATAGAGTGTGGAGTACAAAGTGATATTTAACAAGCAGGTGTTTCAGATACTTTGTGTATACTTTACTATATTATCAGTGTTGGTTTCTTTACTGTAGAAGTTAGTAGCTCATTTAGTGAGTTACAATTCTCTGTACCAAAGCACAGATAGCATATTTGTAGAGTGGATAAAATAATGATTTTGTTCCTTTCTAGGTGATGATTAAAAGGAGCTTCCACTTTCAACTAGTATCAATTAAACATCATACTAGATGTAAATTGTACTGCCACTGCCATCTTGAAGCTATACTGCCTAGACTGTGACAATGTTAATGATATTAGTAGGTGGCAGGTGTAGATAACATACACAACATGTACCAAAACAGCTCTAAATGCAAACTCAGACTCTGCAATACAAGTCACGTGTGTATATCTGTGTGAACATACAGATATATAACATATCTGTTAATCATTTATGTGCAGAGCACTGCCAAATGAGTCAGCCCCGAAACAACACAACAGTAACATAATGTTCCTGAAACTTAATAAAACGCAAAGCAAAATGCTCGGAAAGCAATTCACTGGTCTCCTATTAGAGGACAATTGGACCGAGGAAATACTGTGACTCGGCTGACATGTAAAGCAAGCCTAACGATGTGAATCCTATAAGTCTGACAAGTAACATAATCACAAGCTCCAAGAGAACATAATGACAACAAAGTGAGGAGCAAACAGGCCTGGAAATTCACACAACACCAACAGTTAAAAATAACGAATTTGGTTTTATTGGGTTTCAGAAACTCTGCTTGGAAAACTCACAAAAAAGAAAAAAACAAACAAAAACAAAACAAAACACCCAAACACAAGATCTTGTTTCTGTCACTTGTACTTTTGTCCAGTAAGATTACACTTGTGTAGTTTCTCGTCTCAAATTACATAACCGAGTAGTGCAAATATAGCAGTGTGCAATAATTAACAGGAGAATACAACTTCAATACAGGCCAACTAAAGAGGAGACAAGTCCTTCCTCATTGCTCCTTACCTTGATCCTTGAAATAGTCTATGCAACAATAAATTAACATGGCAGCCACAGATAAACAACGTTAACTCAGCCTACCTGTCATAGATGAGCCCGTCGATTCCCTGCTCTCTCAGCTTCCTTCTGGTTTCGTGATCATTGTTGTCATCCCCCCAGCTGAATACCACTAAGCCTTTAGACTGGGCATCCCCAATGTAGCTAAGGTACTTTAACAGCTCTTCTGTGTGGGCGCTGATTCCCTGGAAAACGACAGCCATATATAGATTAGATTAAATACGGTCCATCCTAAAAAATAAATAAATAAATAAATACCTTCTTACATAAAGTGGTGAGGATGAATCACTAAAGTACTCTCAGCCCTTCGGACTGAAACATTCAAGATGACTGACTATACACGACATATTCAGTAGCACTTATAAAAAGAACATTACACTGAAAAACCTGAAGACTAATCATTGTAGTAAAGCACGCGGTTGTATCTCACCAGAATATTTTCACTCTGGGCGAAGCTCATGGCAATTTTAGTGGACTGGCACCGGATGTCCATCATCTCAGGATACTTGTCTGAAATTCCCTGAGTGAGGAAGAGGATGGGGTACTTGTTCTGCTTATGACGCACCCTGAAGGACAAGCACAAACAGATATCACAAACTGCTGGAAAGCACCTATTAATAACCAAATGCTGGAAGGGCAACATCTGTTCATGAGTTCAATCTAGTAAGAGAATAGGAGAATCAAGCAGCTAAACATCCAGAGCCATGCTTTACTATGAGACTGAACTACCTAAAGGTGCCCTAACAAAGAGATTATTCAGCAACAACTTATTTAAAGCAACTCTTGTAAAAACACAGTCTGAGGAATTTAAAAAAAAAAAAAAAAAAAAATCTTTCTACTGAATATACACTTTATCCATCCACACATAAGTGTTTAGCATTTGTGAATACCAGAGAGTTTATCTCAAGAGTGTTAGCATGTGCCCCTTTTAATCCTTTTGCACTCACATGGTGCAGATGTCCGGGTCAAAACAGGAGAACACGATGCGTCTTTTTCCACCTTTCTGCAGAACATCTGTCAGGATGATGTCCAAAAAGGTGTTCATGTTGAAGTAAGATGATAAGTTTCCGTCCCATGACCCGTCCTGTCAATACAAAGCATCACCAACAACGTCAGGTTACTTTGACAATGACAGTCTTGAACTTTTGACTTTACTTCTGAATATTAACCTTCATCTGGCAGATCCACTTGAGCTCGATATTGAAGCCGACGTTTTCAGGAACAGCTTGGAAGATCTGTAGAGAGGTACAGAGCAAAATCCTTTATTACACTGGGACATAAAAATCAGACGAAGAGGAAGAGAAGAAGATGGTTCAATCAAATTATGTCATTTACCTGTGAGAGCGAGGGGAATGGCTGATGCTCATCAATTTCATCTTCATCATCCAGCAAATCTGAGCAAACGAAAACGGATTACTCTACATTGTACGAGTTATCCTCAACATATCTTTACAAGATGATGTGTACAAAACAAGCTTGGATAAACAGTGTCATCTACAATGTACAAAACAACAAATCATTGATTAAATAAAATAACTTATCTTAAACACCTCATGCAACAAAACAAAATCTCTATAAACATGACAATATAATTTCATAACCAAGCCATTTTACTCTTTGAACCAAGGTCTTAGCATGATCATGTGAGTATTGAAAGAATAAATGAATGAATGAATAAATAAATGCACACCTTTGTGATCGTTTACTTTCATTGCAGTGACATGAGCCAGCTGTGAAAAAAAACAAAAACAAATAAACAAACCAAAAATACATAAACTAATTAAAAACAACCCCGCCCCAAAAACTTTTTGCATTAACATCCTTCACCAAGTTTCACAGTTTTAAAGAAACTGATCAGAGTGTAAAATGTAATCAATTCCACCAAAATTCGAGCTGGTAGATTTTTTTTCCTGCAGTTTTGCTAAATGATTGTTAGGTAACAATCTGACCTCTGCATCAGTGCAGGGGACCATGATGTTTCTTGTATGATCAATAAAGCAATCAATAGGACCGTTTTAGGGAAACAGGTGGGTAAATGTAGTGTTGGTTCAAATGTGATACTATGAATATCTATACACATCAGAAAAAAAGGAGCTTCTCACTATGATCTACTCCACTGAGCATTTGATTTTATTCTGGTATGGAACAACAGAAGCAGAGGAAAGGCATCCATCCATCCATCCATCATTTGTAAGAAGTTTTGCAGACTTTCTTTTATTCTACAGCTGTTATAACTGTTAGGAAAGGTATGGTTTGGAGACCTTTTACCTTTCTGTGCAGAGGTATAACTCAGGAATTATAGGTCAAGCTGTCTGATTGATGACATTCCTAAGCTGACACAATCATGACAGACAGATTTAACTTGAACAGCATTATTACCTTCAAAAGCTGCAGCTGATCATATGTCAGGTCTTTGACTGGCACCTCAATGAGTTCCAGGTTCTTGTCATTTTTCTGTTGAGTGTGAGACAAAATATTAGCACGACATGGGAAACTGATCATGCAGTGCTACTATGAATGTCTCTCATTAGCTCTGAGGAGCCAATTACAATCATAGTTTACCTTCTTAGTGGATATGCAGCAAGTCAGGTCATGGTATACAATAGGAACAGCATCCTTGGAGAGGTGAACATCGAACTCTACAAAGGCTACGCCCTGTGAATACAGAAAGAAAACTAATTTAGTAGATGCAATAGCAGGGCAGTAGTACTGACTCATGCAATAATCTTCTTGGTGACTTACATGCTTAGCAGCACTTTTAAATGAGGCTATTGTGTTTTCTCGGATTCTGTGGTGCCTGTTAAACACAAAATATCCACAAGATCACATACAATATTCCATGATGGATGTCAATGGTTATATCATCATGTCAAAATGTGTGATGAACCATATCTTGAAAACAATCTGAATATTATCTGAAGACAAACACAAAGCAGCAAATGTTTAATTTTAAGTTGGGTAGTAGGCAAAGATCATCACTCACTTGGCTGCATGGGTGCTGCCTGCTCCCCTGTGACCCACATCCAAAGTACCTCTCTTTTTCCAGTACTTGGTGTATGAAGAGCTCATGTCACACTGCAGCCCCTGGATGGGTCGGATTACCAGGTAATCCACTAAAATGAATTAATAAGTTAACATCTTTGTACATTCACAGTATGCATAAATTCTGGCAAACATGTAAAAGGAAGCTCAAGCTGGTCATAAATTTATGTAGATTTTGTATCTCATTTTGTCATAAATAAATATTTGTGGGGGAAAAAAAAAAGGGAAAACTTACCTCTTACTTTTCCAATGGTCTGCCTGGAATTTCGTCCCATTATGGGAAGAGTGACTACTCCAATATCATTGCCACTCTCCAAAAATGAAGAAGAGAGGAGGCAGGCAGCGCCTACATGTCCTGGATGGATGTCCCCCTGGACTACATGCTCACTCAGATCCTCCTGTTAACAAAAACACTAGATTACTACAACACAATTCAATTTACCTAAATAAATACCAGCTGTGCTGCTTTCCCTTCCTTTCACCATCAATTACCAGATGTACAGAATTATTAGAGAGTGATCCCAGGAGGATTACCTCAAAGAACTCAAATGTGAGCTCAAGGTTATCTGGGTCCATGGTGTGAATACTGTACTCAGTCCACTGGGAAGGCTCCAGAGCATAGCCACACTCAGGCTGCGAGTGGCGTGACTTATAGCCATTGGCACTAATCATACTGATTTCCAGAGTGGTGGTCATCTTGTGCCAAGATGAAGGACTGAGCTCGTTTTCATCCTCATCGTCTTCCTCTTCCTCAACGCCCTCTAATGTCAACTTGATCCTGCATAAACAGGTACAACAGTTCAGATAAAACCACATTCAAACACATACTGTAAAGACATTTTGCATCGAATGATAAAGCTTATAATTTCAGCTGTCGTTTATAGATACTTATGCAGGACTTCTTGAACTCAGGTGAAAGATCGATCAGGTAACGACTGCACATTAACGATCTGTGCCCTGATACTTTCTCTAGCTGGTTTTAAATTTAGCCTCTGTGTAATCCATACCTGAAGCGAGACTTCTTGAATTTTTTCTTAGTGATGGACACTGGAGCCTTCTTGGAATGGTGCAGACGTAAGCGAATTTCTGTCTGACATGTCAGCCACCCAGAGTCAACACAGTTTATCCCATCTGCAGAAAGAGAAGACACAGACAGGAAAGCATGTGATCAGACTTCACACCCACTCTGTGTCTCATGAATGCTGACCACAGAACTGGTGATGGCTATAATATTTGAAGAAAGGAACTATAATGTAATTAAAAATCTATGACACACAACAAAGTGCAGTTATTGCACTTTGTTATTGTGTGCTTTTTTTTTGGCATTTTTAATTCCAACTTACTGTGAAATCCAAACTGTCCATCATCAATATTCTGGTGTGTTGCTGCAGTAAAGGAGAAGAGAATTAAAAATGGGACAAAGGGATCTCATGGAGACAAAAGTTGAAGTCAAATCAAACCAGAGCATTCGAGAATTTTCCAAACTGATCTGGAATAAATATAGTATTTAAAATTTTATTTTAACTTGTCACTTAGAATAAACAACAGAAATCAAAGAAAGCAGTACTTCTAAAAAATTCCTACTGCAGTAGGAAATGCTTTTTTATAGGACTAAAATAGCACACAAAAATAAGAATAGGTGATAAGGTGCGGTCAAAGAAGGAAATCAGTGGGGTGTGTAAGCAGCATTTCAAGCTCATTTTGAATGAGTTTTTTTTTTAACAACACAAGCTTGTTAACAAAGAGAGCTTTACAGTAACAGATCATAATATCGGCTGCACTGCAGTGTCTCCTCCTTGGATCAGGATTATTGTACATCTTTTTCGCCAAATATCTCCCCAAAGCATACGCACAGCATCAAAAAGGCAAAAAGCTCCAGGCAGACAAGGTTTAAAGAGGAAACACTGCAGCCAGGTGGAAATGGCAATTCAGGCGTGAGTGTTATCCAAAACAACAAAACCCTCAGCAGGATAAGCCTGAACAGACTCTACACTGGTGTTTACAGGTAACTGTTAGAATAGAGAATGGGGGGTTTAAAGGGGGGTTGAGTATGACACACTTAATCAATCCCAACCCAACCAAACCTTGAACAGTTTTCTGTTGGTCTATACCTGTGGGGCTCATCGTGCGGGGGCGATGATGGATCTCCCACATATTGACTATCACTTGACAGGGACCACCTGCACTCTGCAATTCCAATGTTTGGTACAATGTTAGGGTTTTCAAATCAGACACATTAACCTACTTTTCAGTCTGGTCTCAAAGCTGTCTTTGGACCAGACCGTGAGAAAGGAATTAGAGCCAGCATAGTCACCGATCCCCAGAAAGGGCAGTCAGCCACCATGGATTGAAATCTGAAAAGTGGATTTGTTAGTGACGTGTAAAAAAAAGAAAAGAAAAAAAAGAAGGAAACATTTCTTTGTTTATGTTATCTTCTTTTAACTAAGTAATAGTCACAACAGAAACAACATGTATATACCAATACATTTTTAGAGGGAAAACCTCCCTAGAAGACTCAATGGCTGTCGATTCACCACCTAGTTAAAGACATCTTGTCATTTATTTAAAATCTTTTTTTTTTGCCTGTTAGGACTTTTTAAACACAATAATATAACTTGAGTTGAAGTGCGACAAAACAAAAACAAAGAAACAAAAAAAACCCCAAACCCAACATACTTCATAAAATGGGAGCTGTTCTTAAATTAAACCAGTAAGGCATCAAGTGTGAGCTTGCAGAGATTTCTCTGTAATCTACATAGCATCTTGTCGAAAACACAGTACAAACACATTATGAAATCAGGTTAAGTCATCCTCACACAAAGAGCGCTCCACCTGCTTTAGAAAAAGCATAAAAACACACTCTATGTTTAGGCTAAACAAAGTCAACAAAAACTGTAGCAAAGCATGCACAGTGGGTGTTTTTTCCTTCCAAGGAATTTTGATCTCTGCTCTCTCAGTTTGTTTTCTATGCCTATTTTCACACACGAGGCTTCGAGGTGCAATGAAGGCCCACTGCTAGATTAGAGGAGGCCACCTGGGCAGTTTGTCTGTGGCTGACCAACACTGACAGATGTTTCTGAGAATGTAAACACAGAGGTACAGGCAGTCACACAGCGTTTGTGTAGATACCGTCTTAAACCAGGGCAACTGATATGCTTTCTAATATTTATTCTCACAAATTGGTATAAACTGTTGAGGTTTACAATGACTTTTGCTATATGGAAGAACTTCAGGGATTTGAAAATGACATCAATAGAAAAAAATACTAAGGCTCAAAGAATCCCGCACACCACAATGACCCACAAAACTTGTTTCAAAACAAACAATAGCTAGTCTAGTCTATTCAGTGGCTCTTTTATGACTACAGGGGAATGAATCTTTCACATGGGGGACAATAAAATAATGAAAAGCAGCTCACCTTGGACTCTAGAAAGAAGCCTTTGAAATAGCGGTACTGGGTAACAACACCTTTAGGCACAGTGACTGTTGTAGTCCACATGCATCTACGGGGAAAAAACCCACACAGCTTACTTTTTTATTCTGACAAGGTAATTATAAATGACACTTGGCCACAAACTGTAAGGGGGGGGGGAGCAACCTGTATATAAGTATTTACAATATACACAAAAAAGTCTAACTTACTCATCACCACCAACAGGATGAAGAGTCACAGCTTTTTGGTGGCTCCAGCTTCCCAAGGCTTCACAGCTACCAACAACAGCAAATACCTCACCTATGGAAAATCCAAACAAGCCATGAACCCGATGAAACCTTATGAGAAAAAAATGAATGGGGCATGGCTACAAACTGAAACAAAGTCATCAGCCTTCTGATACAAGTATCGTGGAGAAAATAGGTTAAAGGTCACACCAAGTTTATCAGTTATACCTGGGGATGTCTCTCCCCTGATTGCCAAAGTCACCTCACAGGTCTCCATTGTTTACACGGGAACAAACAGAAATAGGTGGCGCAAACAAGCTGTAAGATAATAACCATGAATTAGTTAGTGCAATTCTAAACTACAGATACAACTCATGCAATTTAAGCTAGAAAACATGCGGAGCACAGGACTGTTCAAAGTGAGGCCACAGTCTGCTAAAAACCTGCGACATTATCAAAATTATATTATCTAAGAAGTAATAGTAATGTAATTTATCTCTCAACAGTTAGCGCGTTAACTCCAGGTAAAATGCACATTAATCTAGTTTGTGTGTTAACAGAAATTGTGTCACAAAAACATCGTTAAAAATCCGAAAAGTAGAAGAATACAAACAGAAGCGACTAACCTTCTAAGTCTTGGTAGCTCTGTATCGGCTCCTGACACCCACGCGTAAGGAGAGCCCGCGGAAAACACACCTCGCCTATCCCGCTGACAGCTGTCGGTCCAAGCGAAAGCTAATCTGAACAGCCCATCCAACAACACCCATCTCTGTTCAGAGAAACAAGCACCAGATAGACAGGAAGCTTTACCTCAAGAGAAAACAAAACACTCACTGAAAATATAACCCTGTTTTGACAGAAACCTTGCAAAACCCCTAAAGACACAACTAAGTGTTGATTTACTAAGAATTAACTGACTGACATGAAAGCTTCACCATTGTTTAGCTGATTTAGCAAACATCCGGAAGCGCGTGCGTCAAAACACCAGAAGTCACATACGACTTCCGGGATATATTTTTAAAAGTAAAACTACAGACCGAACGTCAACGAAATTATATCCAGAAGAACTTTGGTAAAGTTCTCCTGGATATATACATATCCATTTCTTTAGATTACACAAAATTAAGATACAAGTTTTTTTTTAATATATGCTACTAAAACCTGTTGTGTACTTTTTCCATCTCATTGTCCAATATGATGGCTTTACCTGTGTTGAGGTTGTGAGATAGCTAAAAGAACCAGAACGAAATTTATGATCCATGATCATTGTGTTTTCATTTTTTTATATGTTTGGTGTACCGCTGGATTAACATTTTCACCTTTAATTATTATAATGAAAAAAATGCATTTTTTTAAGACACCGTATTGTAAAACAGTGACAAATGAAAAAAAAAATTTAAGACTATTATATTGGGACACAGAATGTAGAGAAAACATTCAAAACTAATCAGCAATGTTTTCAATATTAGCATTTGCATCGACAACATTTGGACATTGTATTAAAAATTCACTTTTATTTTGTTATCATTTTCTCTTCTTGTATTTGGCTTCCGGTGACTACTTGGGGAAGCCGGTTCATACCGCTCTGCACCGGATCTGAGGCGCGTCAACTATGCCGCATTCGCTTACTTTTCAGAAACACGGCAATTATATGAGGTATACCGGCAGAAAAACCTCGACCCTCGCCCACGTCGACTGCAGTAAAATATATTTCTGATAAATGTCTTACATGAAATCGCTTTTCTCACAAGGTCTTTAAAAAAATACTGTTTACAATCAAATGTACTCAGAAATAATATAAGCTTATAAAAATACACTGAAGAAAATCTTAAGCGTAGGAGCTTCTGAGAAGTCCACAATGGCACATCAACTGACTTTCTTAAGTTTGCTGCAATGCACCGGCAAACTAAAGTATGTACAACAATGACAACGCATAGAGAAAAAAAAGTGTTGAGAAGTATCAACATACCATCAGCTGAAATCGATAAACCTGAGCATTTTCTTTGAAAATATGAGTTGTTTTTTAGACGAGGACGAAGTGCTCCGATATTAAATAGGAGGAGACGTTTGGGACAATTGCGTCATGAATCCGCCTTCTTGACTATTGAGAAAACAGATGTCCCACAAGTTGGCAATGATTTCCAAAACACACACACAGAGAAATAAATAGTCGTGTCTTTGGCAAGTCCTTTTCCACGAAAGCGTGAATTGCATAACTGAAATGCAAATATGTGATAGCATATTTGTATTTCTCGACGTCCTTGGGTCAAGAGCAGATGATCATTTTTCACTGTTTGGGCAGTCTGGGACAGGGAGGGATCAGATGATGTGGCCTTTTAAACTCACTTACCCTCTCAGACTTATGCACTGGAGAGTGTAACCTTACTTTAAACACTGCATGGGCATTATAATTAAAACGCAAACTTTTATAAAAACAAATTGTAGAAAGCAGTTAATTATATTTCTGAAACGCCCATCCACTACTGTACTAAATGGACATATTGGTGTGATGCATTTTAAAGCAGGGTTGTCTTCACTGAGACTGGATGAACATTAGAAGTCTTACTACATGGTCAGACACTAACAGCCTATTACTGAAATAACTAAAAATACGATCCGATGCAGATGAGCCAAAAACATGTTTTATTATTTTACTGTAGAGTATGTGGAAAAGGGTGTAACTACTGCAGCGGCGCAAGGGTTAAATGATAAATGCGAAGTAGGTTTGTACAACTGTGAAAATGTTTCACTATTGTTATTTTCAGCACCCTGATCCAAACAAAGTTTTTATAATATAAGGAAGGAAGATCTGGTTTCCAAATTAGGATGTATGAGACGTATTTGTAAATCATGTCATCGAACAATTAACTACGAGACTTAATAATCAATGCCAAAATTTAGCCTGAAGCACCCTCTCGTGTTCAAATTAAGGTAACACACCATGCAACAGTAAGAAAACGCTGCAGTCTCAATCAGATCAGAAAATATATTGTCAGAACAAAAAGCGTCCTTATAAGTGAGATCCTGACATTCAGTCAGAGATAAAGGTGCATGTAAAGCACTTATGTACAACAAAAACAAAGCAGTTTATATAGCCATTTGTGTTTAAAAGCAGACACTAAATAAACATGAACCTTTTAGAGGGGCTAACTGGGATTGTATGGCTCGACTATCTATATCAAAAAGAGGTTTGAGAGGGAGAGTGAAATGTGCAGCTCACGAAGACCCGATGAAAGAGTAAAGGAAGCAGAAATCATAATGAGTATAAAGTGACTGCAGCATAATGAATATTTCAGGGTATTTCTCAACATTCAACAGTCTGCTTGTTACAAATCACCATATACTTCCTGGTGCTGTATCCTTATTCATTTACATGTGTTTTGTTTTGTAAGCAGGCATTAACAGAAGTCTTCAGGCCAAAGACTGGAGCTCAGTCACTGGAATTATTAAGGACGCCAAATCAACAGAAAAATCAGTGTGGATTTTAATTTTATAATCTTGCAATATTTCTGCTTCATTTCTGTGTTTCAAAATAACGTAAAACCCAAATTTAAAAAACAAACAAACATAGGAAACATGTCACATGTTTAAACTATGTCATGAAAAATGTTAGCTCATTTTTTAAAAGGTTTGTATGGGTAAGTAAGTGGTACTACAAAGAATCCGCTTTGGGAACATTTTGTAACTCGGTTAACTCGTAACAGGTCAGTAACATGATTGGGAGTAAAAAGTTTCTCAGAAGTAAAAATGGGCAGAGGTTCACCAGTCTGCAGAAAACTGTCTACAAAGTGCAGAAATCATTTCAGAATAATGTTCCTAAATATAAAGTTGTGAAAATTTGAATCAAAAACAGAGACAATTCTGTCATTAATATCAAAGCATGGGCTCAGAAACACTTCCAGAAATCACTGTCTTGGAACGCAGTTCATCGTGGCATGCACAGTCGCAGGTTAAAGCTCTATTGTGTGAAGAAGAAGCCATGCTATATGTGAACATGATTCAGAAATGCTGCTCTCTTCACCGGCTCAAAGATGATTTAAAATGGACTGAGACAAAGTGGAAGAATTTTCTGTGGTCATAAAAAATCAGAGTTTTTAATTTATTTTGTAAAATACCTAAAACCTGCCGGACACCTACACCTGCAGTTCCCCACCTCTGATCTAGATGAAGTCCTTTTAGGTAAGCTCTGCATATTTCAGCAAGACAATGCTAAACTGTGTACTATCTTGTCCTAGGTCATTCTCTTAGCATCTTAAAGCAAGTTAGGGGTGCTTTGTGCCTTCCAGACCTATCCATTTTTACTCCCATAACTGAAAACCTTTCTTTTTCACCCGGCTCGATGGACCCTGTGTTTAAGCTTTGGTCAGAATTAGGTCTTCACACTATTAAGGACCTCTACATCGACAATTGTTTTGCTTCATTTGCTCAGTTGCAATCAAAATTTATGCTCCCCTCTGCTCATTTATTTAGATACTTACAAATGAGGAATTTTGTTAAACACTCCTTCGCCCATATGGATAAGGCTCATAGTGACTTTTATGATTATTTGATTAAAAATCCCACTTCCAAACACCTAATAAGCCAGTTTACTACACTTTTTACACTTGCACCTACAAACCACATCAAGGATGCTTGGATTAAGGACTTGGAAGTAGACATATCGGATGCTTTGTGGGCCCATGGGTTGAAGAAGATTAAAGAACGCTCTGTTAATGCCAGACTACAACTTATACAGTTCAAGGTCCTTCATCGTTTGCATTTTTCTAAAACGAAGCTGGGCAGCATTTTTCCATCTATTTTGTCTTTGTGTGACAGATGCAAAGCAATGGAAGGAACCCTTGGTCACCTTTTCTGGTCTTGCCCTACACTCGGGAGTTTCTGGGCAGAGATATTTAATATATATAACTGTATCTATGACATCAAATTAAAGCCGTCCTGAAGTCCTCTTCAGAAAGCCTTAATGTTTGGCATGATTGGAGCTAAAAGAGCCCGGAAATCACCATCTCCTCCATTGTTTAGGTTTTGGCTACATGATGATTGCATGTTTGTATATTGAAGAGGATCATTATCGTCTGGCTGACACTCATTTTAAGTTTGTTGAAATCTGGGGCCCTTTTCTCAATCATATTAATGGGGTTCAACATAAACATTAACCTATTTGACTGCATTTTGTGTTTGTGTGAAACTACACTTCTGCCGGACCCTGATTCCTTCTCGGACTTGTTCCCCGCATCTTCTGGACGTGGTGAACTCTCTGTTGTCCTGTCTAACCTCACACAGAAGATCATCTTCTTTGGACACTGGTGTTTCTCTTGAACTTTTGATTTGTACTGGCTAACCGGTGTATTTTTTCTTTTCTTTCCTGTTTTCCTGTTTGTTTTTCTTTTTCTTCTGTGCTTGAATGTTATTATTTTTGAATCTTATGTCCTTTGTCTGGTGTGATTTTATGTAACTTTGAACTTACAATCTTATAAATAAACATAAAAAAACTGTACTGTAAACCCTATTTATTTGTATTTTTCATTTTTTCCAATATTTGTATATTTGATATTTTAATTGAGACTGTTCATAATGCCTCAGAACTATGCACCTCATCCCCCCCTTTTCTTTTTCCACATGTCTGCACTGGATAGGAGCTGCTCTGAATCTCATTATACATGTATATAGTGACACTAAAAGG